GTACGTGATAGGAAATTCACCGTTCCCATAACTGCTGAGGGGGTTTCATCCCAGACACGCTGGTTTTTGTCATTACCAACACGGCCATCAAAGAAAAATGGTATTAATGAAGAAAGATGAGAACTACCTTTATGTTCTCAGGTGGTCGACAGGTTCACAGGAGAAGCTGGTCAGGCATGAAGGAGAGAAAGGAAACCTACACAACTGAGAATAAAAATTCTTTTCTTATGCAATAAATCAAAGAAACAAAGTAGACCCCAGAAAGTATTAAAAAGTCAAACTGCAGGCAATCCTAGGATGATATAAGGCGAAGAGGAATGGGCCCATCGTGGGTATGATGGAGTTTATAAAGACGCAACAGGGGCTCCTGGGGGGCTCAGTCAGTTAAGCGACCGGCTTCGGCTCAGGTCATGATCTCGCAGTTTGTGAGTTCAAGCCCCACGTCGGGCTCGCTGCCATCAGCACAGAGCCCGCTTCGGATTCTCTGTCCCCTTCTCTGCCCCTCCCCTGCTTGCACTCTTTCAGAAAGGAATAAACAATTTTTAAAAATTAAAAAAAAAAAAGATGCAACAAAGTTATGCCCTGTTAGGAAATGATGACAGATGAATCCAGAAAATACCAAAATTAAATGGGTAGGTTCTTTTTGGGGGGCGGGGGGAAAGAATCCAAGATGGAAAGCTGAAAGCTGGCCAGGTTGGGAACACGGTGGCCCAAGGGCTGTCTGGTTATCATTCACCTCCTCTGCAGGCCTCCAGGGTAGATCGCTGTAAGGAATCTCCTTTTAGATCAAAAGACAGACTGACAGACACGCACACAGACACACACACTCACACACCAACTAACCAAGACTCTTAAGCCTACTTACGTATCCCCCAAGTTCAGAATTAACACTGCGGGAAACATGCAGAGGACAATTCTAATGTTTTTGTTTAAAATTTTATTGAAACCCCCTGTCACCCCCTTTCAGCTCCCTAAGTGAAAGTGCATGCAAAGTCCAAGCCTGGAGGTATTCTTTTTAAACTATTTCTTAAATCCCTGGAAATGTGATTTTTAAAACTTGGGGGGAAAGGGAAGCTAGGACAGGGTATACTAAGGACCCATTTTACTTGCCTGCTTCCTTGTTTATTCACGAGCAGGGCTGGACTCAGAAACCCTTCAATGAAATGGGAAACATGTCTGCAGTGGAATAATGCTTAATATGGACTTCCTCCAGCCCCATGACAGGTAAAGGAACTGTTTCAGTGAGGCGAAAAAAGAGCTTAGAAAATTTGGCATCAAGAGGAGGAGAGTTTCCTAAGTTGTTAGGAAAACCTGACAGGTTATCCATAGATTCCAAGTGTTTGGTTAATGCATTTAGGTAAAGAGCATCAGAGTCTCTTCAAGGGCCTTCTACTTCTGTCATCGGTTTCCTCTTTTGACATCTCCCTCCAATGTCCTCCTGAGGAATCTGCAAGGCCACTTTCCTTGCCTGTGTCTGGGAGGAACTGGCCAGGATAGCTAAGAGTTTTCAGCATCATTTTTCACCTATATCTAGTTGGAGGTATGTGTGTTTAGGGGCCGGGGATGGTTAATGGAAAAATAACAAATGCCTTAGCACCCTTTAATGTCTTTCTACAGTTCACCCTTAGAGCAAGTCCTAAGCAAATGACCAATAGTCATTCCTCATTCAGGCCACTAATTTTTTTTTTTACATAAATTTAGAAAAGATTATCCAAAGGTATTTCACACTGAATAAATCTGGAATGCGCTCAGTTCAAATATTTGGCAAGAACGTTATCAGCTACCGTTCATAATGCCCTGTTGTGAATTAGAGTACGAAAACAGAACTTTGCTTAATTGGCAAGTGGTTGATAGCTGTCCACTCTCTGTAGAAGTGCTTCAGAATATCCAGGGGAGTAATACCTGAAAAGGAAAGTTTTCTATTAGATACTTGTGAAAGGATTCATCACAGTAGGCACAAAAGATTCAGTGTAAGATATTTATCTAAATTAATTCTATCAGTGAAACCTCAACTATACCCTGAATAATTAAGCTCCAGTAATGCTTTGTGCGTAAGATGAGGGACTGTGAAGGAAGAAAACACCAACCCACAAGACTGGAGGGCTATTAGCGCACAGAACTATTTTCAAAGCAAGATACCTGGATCCAGTGATAGCATCTTCTTATAGAGACTGTTATTATGTTAAATGATTGATGTTGCCTGAGTGAGGACAGCTAATAGGTTTTTTCATAAGTTACACAATACAGTCTGTCGTTACTGATCATCGTCTGCATTCTGATTGCCTTACAGGTTATTCTCACTGTATGTTTTAATCAGATATGGTGACCCATAAAGACAAAAATTTCTGGGTTTATAATTCACATTAAAGAACTATTTAATAAATGGTTTACAAATATCCTATCATACTTACTTAGGAAATTGGTCATTTTCATTGATTTGGGACATCTGTAGTACTAAAGTTTATATTTAGCAATTGAACATTTTGTAAAATACATACTATGAAAGTATTAAATATATTAATTAATGCATTATGGTATGCTTCGTATCTGTGGAAAGAATTTACGTGCACATAAAAGTTTGTCAAATAAGGGGCGCCTGGGTGGCTTGGTCGGTTAAGCATCCGACTTCGGCTCAGGTCATGATCTCACGGTCCGTGAGTTCGAGCCCCGCGTCGGGCTCTGTGCTGACAGCTCAGAGCCTGGAGCCTGTTTCCGATTCTGTGTCTCCCTCTCTCTCTGCCCCTCCCCTGTTCATGCTCTGTCTCTCTCTGTCTCAAAAATAAATAAACGTTAAAAAAAAATTTTTTTTTAAAAGTATGTCAAATAAAATTTGGCAGGCATTCTAGAATAACCAGATTAAAAAAAAATAAGTAAATGTAATTCAAAACTTTCCAAAACACTCAAAATAATTAAACCTCCTAAGGTGTTCTCTCCAGATAAAATCTGATGTTCAAGATTTGCTTTGTCCTCGTTATCTTCTATCTTCAGAGGCGTGACTTAAAAACTCACAATTTATATTACACTAATTTCTTCTACAATTTGTCCAGTTAAGGTGGACATAATTAAACAGACACATGCATACATAAAAGATTATCCTCAAAAATGTTTCTTCTCTCAAGGCATCCTGGCCTTGAAAAAAATCGTCCTTCAACAGTGGGTCTCTTGGAAGTACTCTTACACTGGAGAAGTCGCAACTGTTTCTGAGTTAGTCACACATTTTAAAACAGGCCTCACCTTCCTAGGCCTGATAAACGGGTCAGACACAAGATAGGTACTTTTTATATTAATGGTAAGAAGTAGATTTAGAAAACCAAAACTTAAAAAATGGTGCTGTTTCATATGGTAGCCACTAGCTACATGTGGCTATTGAGCATTGGAAATATGGCTGGTGTGGGGCACCTGGGTGGCTCCGTCGGTTAAGCATCCAACTCTTGATTTCGGCTCAGGTCGTGATCTCATGAATCAAGATCTCATGGTTCTGAGATCAAGCCCCACATTGGACTCTGCATTGAGCATGGAGCCTGCTTGGGATTCTCTCTCTCCCTGTGACTCTGTCCCCCAGCCCCCTCCCCTGCTTGCTCATGGACATGCATGATCTTTCTCTTACTCTATCTCAAAATAAGTAAAGAAATTTTTTAAAAATATGGCTAGCATGACTGAGGACCTGAATTTTTATATTTAATCGTAAAAGCTGATACTCCAGTTATTTTCGGTGAAACTTTTAGGTGTCTTTGAAACAACTTATGAATCTACTTTTTCAACTGTAAGCTTTATATAATCTAAATACAGCTAAGTACTGGGGCGCCTGGGTGGCGCAGTCGGTTAAGCGTCCGACTTCAGCCAGGTCACGATCTCGCGGTCCGTGAGTTCGAGCCCCGCGTCAGGCTCTGGGCTGATGGCTCGGAGCCTGGAGCCTGTTTCCGATTCTGTGTCTCCCTCTCTCTCTGCCCCTCCCCCGTTCATGCTCTGTCTCTCTCTGTCCCAAAAATAAATAAACGTTGAAAAAAAAATTAAAAAAAAAAAATAAATAAATAAATACAGCTAAGTACATCTAATAAAATTTAGCATCTGAATTGAGATGCACTGGAAGTGATAAAATAACCCACCAGATTTCAAAAACTTAGCATGAAAAATGAAATAGCTCATTCATAATTTTTTATATTGATTATAATATAGTCTAGTCTAGGCAAACATCCCAAAGACAGAGGAGTTCCAAAAATACCTTCCTGCGGTGGAATGGGCCAGGATTAGAACTCAGGCCTTCCAACATCTAGTCCTGAGCTGCTTCCTTCTCATCCCACCAACTACCTTCATTAGAGATTTTTAAATGTGGCAGTACGAAACAAATGCTTAGGCTAATAACAGCTGGAACAACGTATCCATTGATAATCTGTATCGTAAGGAATAATTGGTTCTAAAATAGTCACCCAGTGATTCTTGAGAATTACACAATTACAAAAATAAAACCATTCTGAGTTTATATTTGTCCATTTTCATAGACAACGTTTCAAACATTTCTACAAAACACCTTTAAGTTCTATAGAACCTAATTCTTTACAAAATATAACAAACATGAAGAAGCTAATTAGAATTCTTCATGATAATTTGCCAATTTTTAAAAATGTTTGAGAGGGAGAATGCAGGCTGGGAAGGGGCAGAGAGAGGGGGATAGAGAGAAAAACCCAAGCAGGCTCCACGCTCAGTATGGACAGAGCCCGATGCGGGGCTGAATCCCACAACCACGAGATCACGTCCCGAGCCGAAATCAAGAGTTGGATGCTTAACCAACTGAGCCACCCAGGTACCCCGATAATTGGCTAATTTTTAAAATGGAATCCCAGATCACAGATTTGAGGTTAATATTGTGAGGTTAAATGTGAGGTTAAAATTTTACAATGGTATTATAAGCCGAATAGAATGGGAGGTTAAAATTTTATGGTGGTATTTTGACAAAGCACCAGATTACATTCTAATATGACAGAGTTTTCATTTTCCCTTAGTGCTCTGGAAAGTGATTCCGGAAAGGAGTAAAAAGAAGACTGCTATTCAAGAAAGTACCTTACTTTTGGTTAATTCTAATAGGTCATTCCATTTTGGGCCCTTTCGTTTCTTTTTTCATCTTTCTATAATTTTGTTTACGTATTCAGTACACCACCCAGTGCTCATCACAAGTGCCCTCCTTAGTACCCATTGCCCATCTAGCCCATCTCCCACCCACCTCCCTCCATCAACCCTCAGTTTGTTCTGTCGTTAAGAGTCTCTTATGGTTAGGGGCGCCTGGGTGGCTCAGTCGGTTGAGCGACTGACTTCGGCTCAGGTCATGATCTCACAGTTTGTGAGCTCAAGCCCATTGGGCTCTGTGTTGACAGCTCGGAGCTTCAGACTCTGTCTGCCCTTCTGTCTCTGCCCCTCCCCTCCTTGTGCTCTGTCTCTCTGTCTCTCAAAAATAAATAAATGTGATTTTAAAAAAAGAGTCTCTGGTGGTTTGTTTCCCTCTCTTCTCTCCCCCCACCTTCCCATATGTTCATGTGTTTTGTTTCTTAAATTCCACATGAGTGAAATCGTATGGTATTTGTTTTCACTTAGCATGATACATTCTAGCTCCATCCACGTCACTGCAAATGGCAAGATTTCATTCTTTTTGATGGCTGAGTAATATTCCATTGCATATTACCACCATACACCACATCTTCTTTATCCAAAACTTAAAGAATGGATGCAAATTATTTTTATTTTCTTTTCCTGGTAAAAGCTATTCATATTTCATTCATTTAATGGTTACACACATATTTTGTTTGTTATATTAGCTTTTTGTATATTATTTTATTTGTATATTATATATAGTAGATATACATTTATGATATACTACTCCTTTGATATACTTTTTTAAATAGTAATATTTTTAAAGCTAACTTACTGGAACTCTTTTAGTCAAGCAGTCCTAAAGCTCACAAAAGTGCCTGAATTGTACCCCTGGAAAGAACTTACTGGAAGAATATATATGAAAAGAAGACAAATTTTTAAATAGGAGGAAGTATATTAAACATTGGTTTAAACATTGCAAATTTATATTCTCTAATATTAAGTAGAGAAAATAAGAAATGAAAGTAGGATTAGACAAATACAGATAAATGTGTAGACAAATATTAGACAAATACAGATAAATACAGATAAACATTCTTGAATGTTTATGGGCATTTTTCAAAACTCAGATGTTTAAATCATTCTGTCTTTTCTTGGTAACTTTGCTCTTATTTATTTTTGTATTAGTGGTATAGTACTTTCGACTTAAAAGGACTGAGGCTTAGGTTTAATGCTCTACAAATCAATCTTATTAAAACGATTAATCTTGAAGAGAATTAACTGCTACATTACTATGAGGCACCTGCAAATCACAAACATGATTTTTTTTTCAAATATAGATAGTGACTTTCTTTTTACCACTCAACATCTCTTTTCTATTTGTTAGACGCCTATTAATATAAATGTGAGCCTAAGGCAGCAAAATAATATGCAGGAAACCATGAAAATCAGCATCCATAGGCCCTTTCTAAATCAAGTTCACATTAAAGACTGTTAATTTAACTTGGACTCTGCATTCGGGTGCTCTTTAATAAAGCATGTGTTAGTATAGATATGTCTCAAATGACATTCCAGTTTGACTTGGAGATGTGTGTGTGTCAATCAGAACATTATTAAATTTGAGGGGGAAAAAGAGATCAAGGTAGAATTAAAGGTACACGTTGGTCTTATGTAGTATTTCCAAGACCACGTGTTGACACGGTGGATATAAAATCCAGACCTCAAAACAGAAAGCCCACATTATAATTTTGAACTTCTCAAAGTCCGTTTTTCCCACCTTACTATCTCCTCCGGGTAACAGCTGTTAATACTGTTGATGTATTCTTGGAGCAGAGAGCCGGGTCCTGCCTTTATCTCTTGAACCTTTTTCAGTCCACCACTTGTTACAAAAAGTCGTCGAGCTTTGCTGTCATGTGGCAGTACCTTGAAAAGTCAAGCACGTAAAATTGTCAGCTTTCCTTTTCCAAGTGGGATTATTGCTAGTGAAAAGAAAGAATATAGCTGAGGAAATGTAAAAGAGAATTTATGTGCAATATATCTGTAACATAATGAACCTAAGTTTGCTGCCGGTTAGAAGTAAAATGTAGTCTTTTTAGAAATGTATCAGTTCCTAGGAGTCTAGTGCTCTGGTATCGTTTGCTTAAGAAGACACGGGGGCACCTGGGTGGCTCAGTCGGTTAGGCGTCCGACTCTTGACTTCGGTCCAGGTCATGATCTCACGGTTTGTGAGTTCAAGCCCCACAGCGCAGGACCTGCTTGGGGTTCTTTCTCTCTCTCCCTCTCTCGCTCTCAAAAATAAACAGATAAACTTAAAAAAGAAAAGAACACAAAATTCTGCCGGAAGCAAATACTCCCAAAGGCACATTTTTGTAAGAGTATATGCTATGTGGTACTTGTCTTTATTTTAACATCCACAAATCCCGTTGGTTTAGTGGATTTTGAACTCAGTTTTATTTTGAACTCAGTTCAGGTCAGTCTTCATTTTCTTAGCAAGTTCAATAAAACTAGAATACCTCACTCAGTCGCCTTCAAGACTAGACCATAAAATAAAACGTTCAGAGATAATGCCAGCTGTTCCTTCTCAAGAGCTGATGACTCTGTAGATGGGCCACTCAGCAACCCACTCCCTTCCCCTTTTAGTTGATCAAAATCGCTGCTCAGTTTCTTAACTAGTACCCGGGGCGGGGGGGGGGGGGGGGGCCGACGAGACGGATTTGGCTTATTCTTTAGAAGCGGAAGCAGAACATAAGTGTTGGACACACACAACCATATCCCGAGGCAACCATATCCCGAGGAATGTGAAACCTTCTGCTGTCCAGTGACTCAGGTGCTTGAGGGTCAGCCAAGCTGTTGGAGATCATGGAAGACAGAGAACTGAAGGCTGTTAAAAGATAGTATTGTCTTTCAGATGAATACATTACTAGACCTAAGCAGGTACAGGACCTAGTTTAAAAGTTGTAACAATATATAGTTTTCGTTCGTCATTGTTTGGAGAAATCTAGTATGCGAAGAGTAGTACCTCCTTTACGTTAGCTTTATAACGATTCAGAGGAATTTGGCCCCCATCTATGTGCATTAGTTTATGAAAGTCAACCTTAAGCACCTCTGTGTTTTATTTCTTAAAAACATCGTGTGGTTTTCAGTGGCGGGGGGGGGGGGTGAGTGTTTAATATGTGCCTGAGATTAAGCTACACTCTTTACGTATAACATCTCATTTAATCTTTACAATGACCTTATAAAACAGGAACTCTTATTACCCCCTGTTTTATGGGTAAGCCTACTAAGGTTTAGGGAGGTCAAGAGTTTGCTAAAGATATTACAGCTGGTAAATGGGAAATCCGGGCCCTCCAGCTCCAGAGCCTGAGCTCATAACCACTCTGGGATGCTACTTCCAGAGACCCCGTTTTCTTAAATGAAATCTCCTGAGCACCATTTAATCGGTTCTTTATAGCCTGAGTTACCATCCTGGCCATCGATGGCCGTGGGAACACCATCATTCTTTCTCGGCCTTTGCTAGCAGCAGTCAGTCAGTCCTGCTGGCTAAGCCCACGTCCAGCAGCTTGACCTTTCTACCTTACTACTTTTAATCTGCCATGATCTAAGAAATATGGTGGCTATATTTGTTAAAACCGTTCGTAAAATGAGTCAATAAGCTCTAAATGACGCTCTGAGAGCATCTCCAGAAGAGTGCACGGACTTTGTCATACGTGGCTCAGAGACCTTTTTATTTTTCTTTAGAAGATCTTTGCGGTGTTCCCAGATGAGTGAGACCAACAGACACCAGGATAATTGCTAAATTACCTATCACTATAAACTGTCTGTATTATGGGGTTTTTATATGTTGACGTACTGTCTTCTCCTCAAGAACACTAAAAAGGACAGTAGAGGCTGTGAGGAAAATGTGAAGGAGGAAGGATGAATTATTTGTGTGTGAATCTTTTTTGACTTATGTGAATGTTATTAACCTGTGTTGCCTTCCCTGTCGCGATAGTCAGTGAGAACTAAGGAGTAAAGCCCTGCCCCCATCTCTCGGAAGGAGACATTGACCCAACGGGGGGAAAAAGAAATTAACAAGCCATTGAAATGTTCTTCCCCCACTTTCAGAAAAGAGAGCATCTCTTACCTTACTGAACTGTCCAACCACGTGCTTCAGGATATTGGGGGGCGCATCATACAGAAACGGCTCAAGGGCCGGTAAATAGGTGCATTTTTGTAGGATACTCTTTATGGCTTTCTTACTCTATTGAAATGCAAAGCAAAATACAGACCAAAGTAATAATCAAAGCTTGACCAAAATTCATGGCTCATGTTCCTAGAATTTGAAAATACAGTGAATTTCCAGTCCAACCTGCAGGTGTTTCATTGTTTAAGATGGGTGTCAGAAAAATTTCTATCTGGCATGGGTTTCACCTACCTGCCGGTTGCCTTCATGTTAAGTTTTAGAATGTGCGGTGTATTACTGATCTCTTAAAATAACCTATGAGCAAAGTAAAATTAAGCATAAGGCTATAGACTCTAAATTAATATGTATTATATCTCATTCGTGTAAAACTTTGTATATGTTAAGCCATGAGAGCACCAATATGTCCTATTCCTTCCAACCAACAAGTAGAAAACACTCAGTTCATTGTAGAAAGTCATTATCAAACATTCTGTGTTCTCTAAAAGGTTTCATGACTTCTAGGTATAGTCAGAAAGGTTCTATGTGCATAATTCAGTGAACATTTGCAGATGTGAAACTGCCCCATTCACAAAGATCGACCCGACCATACGGGAGAGGTCCCCTCAGCAGCAGGGAAGGTATTATCCACAAGCTCAAGAACAGGTACTTCCCCCCTGTCCCCAGCACTTTGTATTTCACAGTGACACAAGTGTGGCTGAAGAAGCGTCCTGATGTGACTGTAGCGCATCCCTGAGGCCACCTCTAAGGCCACGGCTGGTTGTGATTCTGTTTCCTTGTGTTAAAGCCTGCCCCCTTCACTTCGGAAGGCTCCCCAGTCAGGTTGGCCCACAGCTGTTTCCCCCTGGAATCCCACACCTGCTTGTATGTGGTTTTGTGCTTCCTTCCTCCGATCACCCATTCTCTCTCAGGCCTTAGCCAACCTGGTCTTCTGCGATCC